ATTGAGATATTTATTAGTTTTATTTCCTTAAAAGAAATGTAAAAAGGAATGTAAATCAAAAATATTAAGAAGTTAAAAACTGTAATGGTTTAAGCTTTAAAACTCAAAACATCAACATGAAGGAGTATAGAAGAAGCTAAATCATTGATGATTTGATATCATCATGTGAGTTTTATCACTCAAAATACATCAAAACATAATGTCAAGGCTGTAAAACACGTAGAGAAATATAAGTAGTAAGGTCTGCACTATAGTAGATGTCTAGTGTAATTTTTGTGACGAAAAGTCGAACCGCAACCATCTTCAACAGCCCATCCCATCCCCTGACGCTTTTGTATCGATAACTTAGAAACACGTGACTGTCGTCAAGGCATGAGATCTGTTGTCGGTGTATCAGGTGTATCGGAGATTTATCGGAGTGATTTCGAGCTTAAAAAGCGATTACTGCTATGCACGTCTCTCTCTGTCGGACTCGTTCGTTGCTTCGAAGGTGAGTTGTAAGTTTTATACAATGTATTCAAAGTCTTTTGTGCCTAGAACTAGACACAGCTTTCTATGCATTTGTAAATTTGGTATTTCTAAAGAATTGTTCAGGCTTTTGGGCACTTGATATGGTTTGTTTGCCAACAAATAAGCTCGATTGCTTCACTTGGCTTATTACACAACATCAAACCTGAACGCATGGTGTTCTTCAAGGGAATAATTAAACCCAGAAATGGGGCTCAGAACCTCCTTCGGGAAACTAGGTTCTTTCCATTTAGGCAGAACTCGCCGGCCATTCCACTCTATTTATATTTTTTGTCAACATTTTTCAGTCATTTCGAGGTTTTCTGTAGAATAATGGATAGAATTTGAAAATTTTTCAATTTCAAACTAAATGGGAATGATATATAATAGCTGGGGGATTGATTTGCGACCAGGCCTGCATATGAATTCGCCCAGGTTGTAAGCCAGTGAGCCCGTTCATTTTTGTTAAGCGGTCATATTTGAAAGTGTAAATAAAGGAAAGGGAAAACCCGCAGCTCTCCTTTCACTCGATAAACAGTACAAGTCGTGTTAAATTTATTTACATAACTAAACAAAATGATTATAGAATTAAACCTTTAAGAATTGAATGCTCACATCAAACATTTTCCACCTTAAATACACACGTGTTTTTCAGAAGGGAATTTTGTCGAACTTTTTTCACGATGGAATTTTGTTTTGAGTCGTTTCAACATAATAGCTAGTAAATGTGTAACCGACCTGTTACATAACGTCAACCTGTTGTATCGTCGAGCATGCTTGCAGCTTATTGCCGAAAATGCGACAAAGGATGAACTACGACTGTTGTCACTACCAAAAATAACAAACGCTTTAACTCTATTGGAATACGTGGAGCTAAGCCGCTCTAGCTCTTTCAGTGATGTAGCTTAGAGGAAACAAGAGCTAAGAAAAAGGATTGCAATGGTTCCTCCTAAGATACTTTGGACTTGAACGTCGCTTCAACGACCTTCTGAAGTCTTCGTGAAGTCCGCCATTGCTTGGCATGCAATGGAGAACCCGCGTAGAACACAGACCAATTATTTTAATCAGGGAGGGGAGTCTCTAGGTATTAAAGAAAAAATTATTTGTTATTTCTTTTTTAAGATAAAATTCTATTTCTATAACGATAAATATTTGATTGACATTTAATAAAAGCTATTTTATAAAGATTTTCAATTTCTCTTTGCGTTTAGCTTTGATTTTTCGGATAGAATAAAATGGCAGGCAGCCTACTCCATTGGGTCGAGTTTTGCTGTGCAAATTCCTCCCGTCGGGGGGTTATGTTTACAACATAAGCTTGTCAGCTTTGCGCTGATTGGCTAGTCGCATTTTCTCAAATCACCCAGATCTTCTGACAAATGGAAAGCGCACTAGTTATCACAACAATGTGACTCAAACATGTTCAAGGACCTTCTTTTTGGAAATTAAATAATAGTCATCTTCAGGATAAAAATTAAGTTCAAATGATCAATTCCAGTCTACCAAACTGGTTGGAAGATGTAGACTATATTGACGATCCCAGGATAAAATGGGACTGGGTAAAATATAAAATTCGCCAGGAAACTATAAAGTTCAGCAAATCTAAAGCTAATGAGAGAAGAGAAAAACTTAAATGTTTAGAAAGAAGATTAACTAAGGCCCAAGCCAATCATGACACTCTGAATAATAGTGAAAGTCAAGAGGAATTTGAGCTAGCAAAAACTGAATTTGAGYATTTGTATGAATACAAAGTCCAAGGCGCCATTGTTCGTTCTAGGGTAAATTGGCACGAAGATKGTGAAAAAAATAAYAAGCTTTTTCTAAATCTATGTAACAATAGAAAAAAGAAAACCGCCATTCGAAAACTTAAAATAAATGACACAAGCATAATAGAAAAGTATTTTGAAAGASACCCATTCTTTTTATGAGCATCTGTATAAGGAAACCCTTAATTCCCTCCCCCTGCAAGTTTTTATACGAAAACAAGTATGCATATGGAAAATATTGATTGGCCAAAATTCTACTCTCTCCCTGCAAAGTGTTGTCTGGACACAAAGACCCGAGAATTTCAATTTAAGGTTTTACACAGAATCGTATTTACAAAAAGTATGTTATTTAAGATTGGAAAAATCGACTCTCCTCYGTGTTCTTTTTGTGATATTCAGGTAGAAACCATGGAACATTTATTTGTGGAATGTGAGAAAGTAGTACTTTTTTGGGAATCGGYTGTTAACAACATACAAAATTCAAGTAAAGGAAATGCGTGAAATGGACATTATTCTTGGATTACCAGAATTGAGCGATGATAAAATCCTGGTCAATCATATTCTACTCCTAGCAAAATATTATGTATACAAATGTAGTTTATCCAAGATCCAATCGTTGCTTTCAATCTTTTTACAAAAAATCAAAAACGTTTTTATTTCGAACTTAAGATAGCTACCGAAAAAAAAGCAACTTGAATATCGTTATAAAAAGTGGGACAAACTCCTTCCATTTTTCTACCAGGCTTTATGAAAATAATTATATTTATCTCTTATGTCTTCTATAACTTGTATCTGAATCTAATCTTTTTTTGTAAATTAATTATAAACCTTATATTTTAGTGTTTTGTACTGTATTATCCAAATTTTGTTACTATGTTTTGTATAAATATTCTTGTGTATCATGCCTACAATCGTTGCCAAAATACCTTGGACCGTACAATTATTTGCCTTCAGCCTAACATTTTTCTCCTTTATTTTTTGACAGTTTTCCCCCTTAGCCCCCTTTCATCAATGTTGGGTCTTGTTTTGGATGCTTGTGTGCTATGGTAACATGATCAATGACAACATTGCATTTAGGGGGTCAGGGGGGATGAAATTGTCTGCGGGTGTTGCTTAAAATGAGGAAATTCCCTGGAATGGTCCAAGGTTTTTGTCAACGATTGTAGCATGATGCTCCTTAAGTTGTAAACTTTTGTCCTTACTATCTATTATTTGTTATTTTTTGTAAATCTTCTTGGGTATCATTCCTAGTATGTTACTCTTTTAAAATTTGTARATTACTGTCTGCATCCAAAAATAATAATAAAATATAAAAAAGAGACCGTAACGCGTCATGGAAGAAGACACAAATTCAACTTCTACAAATACGCTCAAATCACTTAAAAATCCACACTTTCGTGGTATAGCTACACTGAAATATGCCGAGCGTTTTTTCGAAAAAAGAATTTCATTAGAGATACTGCGAATTTATCGAGAAACTTCTTCTTCTGTGAAATTTATCTTTCTAGTCTATCGATCGAGTCTATCGAGACCTATCGAGAATTGTCTATCAAACAAGTGAACTATCATAGCACAGCAAAACATTGTTCCTTGTGTGATACTTATGTAATAATATAGATACAGTAGGTGTGTTTACAATTAATATATCATTTATGAAAAAAAAAACAATGTACCATAAAAAGTGACTATTGATTATTATTATTAATAATTGAATTAATAAATATCAACTCCAATATATACTAAATCGGCTTACCAGTTTCTTTTGAGGGAGCTGTGCGTGTAGGTTGAAATCGAGTGACCTTTTAATAGCAGGATTGGAGTTGTCTTTTCCTCGTTTTGCTGGAGTTGTAAGTTCGAGGTGGCGATCTTGAGAGTATCTATTACCGAACTTTGAACCAAGTTATCTTTGAACCAAGTTATTCTGTATCAGTGATACAGAACTAATGTTTTATTAATTAGGTCTGTATCAGGAAAACGTTGGAATGATAATCAGCCCCGCACTCCCCTGAAAATATTCAAAATGTSTAAACTCGCGTGCAATCAAACACAATTAAAACACACTGAAAAATAAATATTGTAGCAATGCCGTTTCGTTTCCTCGCGATTTACTCGATCGTCGGATAAGCTTCTCTGTTTTTCTTGGCGCCTCGTCTTGTATGAATTTGATCATCCAAAAAATCAACGACTCGGCGTTCATGTCATCAAGACCACCGTCAGCATATCCTGGAATGACTCGCTGTTTTTGAAACTGAAACTGGTGCTCCCATTTATGGCTTTTTTTGTTCGCACGGTCTTTTTGCCGGTCGCAAAATAAGGTTGCGGACCATTTTGTTGAATACTTTGTGGAACACTCCCCCGAACAATAGCGCTTTCCTTTATGTTGAGTTTTAGGTCTTATAAATCGACTCGACATGTCTTCGAGGGAGAAATGGAAGCCAACTGATTTAATTTTTGCTAACTATGAATGCCTAATATCTTGCAATTCCTTTGACAATTCTAATTTTCTATAGGAAAAAAAAAAAACAATAGGAAAATAAACAATTTTCAGGAGTAAGTATAAAAAGCTTCTAATGTGACAATTCCACTTTCAATTAATCATTTAGAAATTCCCTTGATAGCTCAGTCGTTTAATGAAGGCGCCATACAAACAGTTATATTTGACGCCGGAATATTTAATAACGGCGACATACGTTGATAATTTTAATCGATGAAATGCAGCAAGATATTCAATTTTTCAAAAACATTAAAATGAAAATTATTATAAAGTTTGAATATGGTTGTAGTAAGAAATTTTTAACAGAGTTTTATTAAGTATGTATTCCTCTGTTAAAGAAGCTGTAAAATTAGAACAAGGTGTCACTCCTTTTTTCCAGTCATTCACTGGAGTAAAACAAGGTTGCAATCTTAGCCCATCTCTTTTTAATATTTCCATCAATGACATACCTAAATACATTTATTTGATGTTGATCGTGTCGTGTATCGATGGACATCTTCCAATGATCTGAATAAGCAGTTCAAATTGTCTGGGGCTTGACTGTTGAAAATATCATGCATCATAATGCATACCCGCTCAAAAAACATGAAGTTGATGGGAAGTGAGTGTATCTGTAGGAAAAATGGTACAGTGTGCTCCCGCGGGTTTGAGAAGTTGATTAATCTTAGCGCACGCTTTTGTAGAACAAGTACTCTTTTAAGGTGTGTTTTAGCAGCATTTCCCCAGCTACAGATTCCATAATTTACATAAGGGACTATCAAAGCTTTATAAATGCTAAACATTGTTTGGCGTGGTACAAAATGCCGCAGTTTAGCAATGATGCCAATCGATTTACGTATTTTTTGCACAACGTGTTCTATGTGAAATTTCCATGATAGCTGCGAGTCTAATAGTACGCCAAGGTATCGTATTGTATCTTTATGGCAAATTAATTGAGGTGTGTTTGAATTATCTGGGATGTAAAAAGAGGGAGAAAATGGGAGTTTTTTTTGACGAGGTTTAAAAATAACAAAGTTAGTCTTTTTAACGTTAAGAGATAAACGATTAGTTTTTAACCATGTCGACAGCGATAAAAGCTCATTATTTACTATAAGTTGCAGTTCATTAAGATTTCTGTTATCACAAAGTATAGTTGTATCATCTGCAAACAGGTAGAACGATAGGGTTTTGCTCGATTTATATATATCGTTAATGTAGATAAGGAAAAGTAGTGGGCCCAGCACTGAGCCTTGGGGCACTCCACAACTTACTGATTGATAATTGGAAATGGCTCCATTAATAGAGACTGTTTGTTTTCT